GGATGAAGGTGAAACGTCTTCAAACAACTTAAAGAAGTCCAGACGCTTTTCTTTGCAAGCTCCTCAGACTACTGTTATTAATGTTGCAAACGTACTCTGTAAAAAAACGCTTAAAAAACAAGAAAACCTGTCATATTCCAGCTGTTGTAGTGCCAAAACATACAGTAATTTCCCATAATTATAGTACTGAAAACTGATGTACTTTCACAAGGTGGTAAGTTAAAGTTTGGTGTATTTCTGTGGATTTTTCATGTTAAATAGAAGGTATGTGTGAAAACAAAATTACACAATTATATATTCAAACACTGCTGCAATAAAATTAATCAGGTTTAAAATTGCTGAAAAGTGCTATTATCATGTAATAACACAATATCCCACCCATAAAAAGTAAATGTTATTGAATTATAATATTATTACATATAAATACATCATGTGTATTTAATAAGTATAAACACTGAAATAGCTACAGGTAATACTAACTTTACATTGTTTAATAATGCCATAATATTGCTAGAGCATTACTACAGTTCAACTTGATATACTTGTCTTAAAATGTTTCATCACATCATATAAATTTTACTTAAAACTGCAAGGAAATATTTGCGCTCTGTCACTAAAATAAAAATTACATCGAGGGGTTTTTGCTTTATAATGAAAAATGTCACGGTCCTGGGTCACGCAGTGTTTGTGCTTTTGTTCAAGTTTTGTTCTGTCAATTATGGTTTTCTGTTTGTATTACATTTATAGTTCCTGGTATTTAGGTTTCTGAGCCTCCTCTGTGTTCTTGGTAAAGATCTAACTCTGTTCTCCATGTGATGTATGCTTAGACTTAGTTTTCCGGTGTTCAGTGTTAGGCCTACGGTTCCTTTTTCATGTCTCCCAGTGGGAGAAACGTTTCGTCACTCATCCAAGTGACTTCTTCAGTCTCAGCTGACTGCAGCTTCTAAAAAGCTGGGGAATGAATGACCAGTGATCAATGGTCTTTAATCAGTGTTTGTTGATCAATGGTCATGACAATTTGCATGTTAATGAAAAAAATGACCTCACAACCCATTGTTGGCCAGTGCTGCTGGTTTCAGTTATTGTCAAATGTACTGTTTATATGATTACAAATACAGTACAATTACAGCATTTACTTAACTAAACAGTCTAAATACTTCTTTTCAGTTCTGTAGTACAAAACATTAGCTAAACTCTTCTGCAGTACCACCTTTATACCATCTGTGTGCCACTGAGTGCTTTGAGTTCTCCAGTACTATAGAAAAACACCATATCAGAACAGAGATACTTATGAGCCTGAAGACCGTGAAGTCAGCGTTCTCAGTGACACTGTGTTGTCTCGTTAATTTTTTAAGCCCCTGGTGATAAAATAAGCCGATGTCACAAGCTGCATATTATTTCAGCTGTATGGAGTGTAAAGCTGAGGATTGAAATGCAGACAGAGGAGGCAGCAGGGTTTAATAGGACAATCTTTAATAAGCTGATGGCACAAGCCTACAAAGGAAAACGTAAAAGTTTTTACGAAACCAAATCCACAAGTGCATGGAGAGAAAACATACAAGATATCGTCACAGACGTTAAAACAAAAGTGTGAGGGGAAGATGGCACACATACAAGGGTGATTAGGGTAAGTAGACACAGGTGACAGGAGGGGTAGTAAAAATGAAGACAAATAACAAATGCAGCAGTTAGACACAAACCCACATGTAGCAACGTTAGACTGAGACTGGGGAAGGAAACTAAAAGAACTCAATGCATGGAAATAACTGACAGAAAAGCTCTAAAAACTCTCATAATACAACAATGGGACTATGACAGTGTGATTAAAAGTAAGTACAAATAAGTGATAAGAATAATCTAGAACAATATGAATCTGTGTTGAGTATTTAATATATAATTAAAAACAGGTGATGTCAGCACATATTTGTTTTCTAAAAACTTAAAGTAACGTTAGTGATATTGACACACAGTTTGATGAATAGCCATTATTTCATACAGCAGAATGGGGGTTTTCCTGTGGGTGAGCATTATAACTACAGCTCACGAATGGCGACCTCGACGTCCCCGTTAATTCTCAGCTCTGTGCTTTCCCAGTCAAAAACATTTCCTCTTGCTACTCTCTTCCCTGCAAACATGCCTTGTATCACGCTATCTGCCAGAACAACGTCCCACATGTTCACATCACAGATCTCACCAACAAAACTCTGCTGCTCATCAAAAGAACCCAGGAAAGAATCCGGATCTTGTCCCAGGATAACCCTGCCTCCTGGGCTGACAGTGTGACCCTTCCTGTAGATTTTGGATAAGCTCCTCTTGCCATCCAGGAAGAGGGCAGCTAAACCTGAAGTGGAATCCCAGGTGACACACAGGTGGGTCTGCAGGGCTCCGAGCTCAGGGACTTTAAATAAAACACCATCTCCAGCCATGTAAAAGGACAGTCTGCACACACAACATCCATACGTCCTTTAGTCATAAAAGTCTTAGCACACAGGCAGCTTCATGAAAAATCATAATTTTACTACATTTGAATCAAAACAATTTTACACCAGGACCAATAAGATCAAATTTGGTTGATATTGTTTTTGTAAAGCTCACAGTGTAGATGCTGTTGACTTTGAGATGTCCTACCTTCCATCCAGTTCACGCCACACATTCAGCTCATCGTAGCTTCCAGTCCGGTATGCAAAGAGGATGATCTCTCGCTGGCCGCTGAGCTCCGTGGCCACTCGCATGCACAGAGTGAACGCAGTCAGGTTCATCAGCCTTTGAGGGATCATCTCAACATAACTGGTGCTCGTCGCAGTGGAGAATACCAGGGTCTTAATGGGAACACTCCCTGAGAAGCAAACAGAGTTGTCTTTTGTGTTAATTTAATTTAATTACGAATTAATTGTAATTAAATTGTATGAACTAATTCGTATTTTTATTCTCTTCGTAATGTTAAGCACTTTGGTCAGAACTTGCTGTTCTTAGAGCACTTTATAAATAAAGTTGGTTTGGCCTGTGACCTTTGAAAGGTTCAAAACACTCAACTGCAACAAACTGCATGTGTTTAACTTTCCCACGAGAGCTCAGAGGCGCCTCTTTATGTCCACTGTTTATGTACATAAATGTGTTTGTTGCTGTTAGTTCTGTGTTTTAACTGACATCATACAAATTTAATGAGCTCTTAAAAATGAAAATTATTGACATCACTGTTTAAAAGCCACTGAGAGCCTGAATGACAAGAAAACCATATAAAGAAAAATAGAAAATGAGATAAACAATAAAAAGTAAATAATGACATAATTACAAACTTGCACAGAGATGGACAAAAGAACAGAGAAACAGTTACCAGCCAATGCCATGGAGACGGTGATGAGGAAAAGGCCAATCAGAGGTCTCATTTTGTCTCCACAAACCTGCAGAAAATGAGACTCACATGTTAACATGATTTTAATTTATACACAGAATATCAGTGGGAGTTTTTTTGAAAGTTATGTAAAGTTACAAAGTAAAATGAAGCTGTATACGTACTGTGATGCTCCAAAGGTCCTAATGCAGACAGTCAGCTGGGCAGTCTTATAACCTAAGTACCAGAAATCCTCCCCGTTTCAGAGTCCTGCGATGCAGATAACAGGCTGTCATTGATTGGCTGGTTTTCATTGGTTTTGGTAGAAGAAGAAGAAGATGCTAAAATTACACGAAGTCTTAACAAATACAAACACTTCTGTGGATTATTTATCGTGATTATTTTTTTTAAGTTTTTTAGCATCACATTATGAGTCACTGATGATTCTGCTTTTCTTTCTTGTACATATTAAATTTGGATTTGATCATGAATGATTTTACATAACATCTTAGATTAATGTGGTAACTGTTATTTGCATCATACCTTTACCTATGGGTGTTTCGTTTCTTAAGCATTTATTTCAAATGACAGAAAGGCATTTTGTGTAAATTAAGATGATTTCTAACCTTAAGACCTGAGAGATTTATTTTCATCAGCGCACCTCAAAAATGTTTGAAAGCCATTTGTTGTAGTGAAACAATGTTTGTTTTCTATGTTTTCTGAAGAAAAGACACCGCTGCTGTTTGAATTGTTTCCGTTTTGGTGTTTGTTTGTTTTTTAATTCAAATGTTTCTCATTTAAATTGTTTCTGTAAATAGTTTCTCATTTGACTTTTTCAAATGAGCAGCGGCGTCTCTTTGCCAGAAACAATGGTCTGGTTGAAAGGCGTCTGTGTTAGAGAAGCAATCAGGCCATTGTTTCTGTCAAAGAGACGCTGCTGCTGATTTGAATTTTTCCAGATGTATTTTTGGATCATTTCACTGAAATGATTGGCATTTAGTTCCATTGCATTAGATTATCATATATATATAGGGCCTTCAAATTTTTACAGTTGTTTCATTTTATCTCATATCAACATTTTTGAGAACATTTTCTGATCAATAATCTACAATTATCCTAAAAAATTACTGTCCAAAATTTGGGCACATATATTGATGATACTGTGAAAGTATATGTTAAATGTACCAACTACTTTAAACAGAGTACTGGCTAATATGAAAAGAAAAATTGTCAGAAAAAGTTTCATATATTTCATAAAAAACTTCACATTGCAAAACACAACTAATGACGTTGCTTCAGGTCAAAGGTCATTATAATTCACATAGTATGCCATTCCACCCATAGGTAAAGGCATGATTTGCAAATAACAGTTAACAAAACCAAAAGTTAGCACAAACTATACACTGACCTGGAAGAGTCTGATAAAAGTTTAAAATATACTAAGAGGAGTTAAAATGCAAGAATGTAGGTTTTTATGTAGCTCTGTTTCATAACTATCCGGTGTTAAGTGATGACGTGACGAATCCTACTTCCGGGCCTAAAGTAGTCTGCGTTATATGGCTTTTGTGTTGTTAACATGTTTAATGTTTTGTATTTTCTTCTATTTGATCTCAAAAAGCTCCTAAAACAGTCAGTGATCACTGTTGACCTCCCTCGGCTTTTATTACCGCTAATCATTTATTTAAGCTCAGTTTTTAAAACCTTAGGATGTAACTACAGCCCAGCCCATGCAGCAGTATATGAATGACTAACCTCGTATTGTGGATGGATTATCTCAGTTGTTCTCCTGGCTGAAGTTTGGTCCTTTTACAGCATCCTGCCATGCGATTACATTTGTTCCTGACCACCGAGAACACTCACGTTAACTTTTATCGAGTGGAAAAAAAGTTAGCTTGTTTATATTATGCTAACATAGCTGTGTCGCTAGCGGTCAGTAGCACATCATTATATACCAGCTAGCCCAACTTCAGTAACCCTACAAACGTCACTGCTGTTTAGTTTTCTGTCTTCATTTATGTTGGAAGTGATAACAGAGCTGTACGTTTTAATTTGTTTCCAAAACCCCGCAGTCAGGACATGCTATATTGTATTTAGATAGAAGCTAGCGAGCTAACTCCTGCTAACTTCTAACTCCGTTAAATGTCATAAATTCCGTTTTCATGGATGCCTGGATGTTAAACTCAATTGTTACACCTGGTAGAGCAGAACGCTGATCATTTTATTAAAGATGAAAGACTTTAGACAGTTTTTCAACTCTCAGTAATGCCATAGTGATCGTTTGATATATGGACCTGCAGCGGAGTTTAGGCCCAGACACGGCTAGTGACGTCAGACTTAACGACCGGATAGGTTTCGGGTTTTCTTACTTCATGTGATATCTTTCTGTATCTTGTATGTTGTGCTCTTCATACAAAAATAAGAACCTAGAAGGATTCTCTCATTGATTTTTTTAACCAGTTTTTGCTGTGCGTGGGTACCACCAGCAGCAGCATTTCAGTTCCCAGGCATTCCTGGAAGGAGTATGTAATTGAAGAAGAGTTTTCCGGTGCGAGCTATTCCAGCAGTTGTCTGGTTTTAGTTAACGAGGAGTGTTTGTGTTGTTGGGCTAACACGACATAGAGAGCCTTTTCACAAGCTATGTGTTAGCAAGTGTTAGGCTAGCACTAGCTTGTTAGCTGAAGTGCCTAGCAAAGCTCAACTAACATCACAACGAGGTGACTCTCATTGTGACTAGCTTGGCTTTAAGCCCGGTGTAGTCTCAACCCGTTCCAGTAACCATGGCTACAGCTCCCGCCACAGGCAAACAGTCAGAACCGAAGCGCAAAGAGGCTGCATCTGTATCTGTTTTAAATAAACACAGGAAAACTAGACATTCACAACACTGGGTGAATAAAGTGCTCTGTTGATCAGTTCATTGAATGTTGTTAAAATAAACCTGTCATACATACTTTTGTATCATCATTTAGCCTTCAAACAGAAAATATCTCAGGTTTGCTTATCCGAATAAACAGAGCAGGTGATCAGAAACTCCATTGTTGTCCATAAATCAATTCATAAAACTTGACTTCAAAATCAACCTGGGGAAATATCTTGAGCTTTGATGGGTTCTGTCTTGTTCGTAAACATCCTCAGTAGTTTCCTCTCACCTGAGGGTGACAGCTTGGGTTTTCTTCCAGCCCTTGGCAAACTGTTGACACTTCTGAATAACTTAAATAACATATACAGCTGATTGAAGTGAGGATTTTGGAATCTGCAGTCATTTGGAAATGCTCCGAGAGAAACCAGCTGTAGTCAATCGTAACCACTAATGCGTTAATACGTCCTGTTGAATTAAAAGACATTGTAGAATCTTCAGCACTTCTTATTAAAATATTTGAGAGAATATATGAATGAAATGACACAGTGTAATATAGCATGAGTTGTTGTTGATGATGACTTTTATTATGTTCAGTTACATTAAACTCTAGAACAGAAAGATGGCGTGCTTCCTTTGTCACATGACTGTCAGAAGGTCCGGCATTTCTGAAATCAAAATGATTTATCAGGCATAGAGAAGGATGGAGCAGATATTTTTACTAGGTCGCAAAACACATTAATCTGAAGTGATGTCAGTATTACTGATGCACATTTTGATCAATAAAGTATCAGATTTCTTACAACCCTATGGGTGGCATTCACTGACTGCACAAGTTTTCCTGTGGGTGAGCATTATAACTACAGCTCACGAGTGGCGACCTCTACGTCCCCGTTATAATATATTATATTATAGTATTTTTTTAATGAGTGTACGTGATGTGTTGGTTGTATGTTTGTTGTTTGTTTTGACATACTGCGAATCAATTTCCCATCAGGGACAATAAAGTTACCATTGACCATTGACCAATTATCAGCTCTGTGTTTTCCCAGTCAAAAACATTTCCTCTTGGTTTTCTCTCCCCTGCAAACATGCCTTGTATCACGCTATCTGCCAGAACAACGTCCCACATATTCACATCACAGATCTCACCAACAAAACTCTGGTCGTAATCAGAGTTTACGAGATCTTGTCCCAGGATAACCCTGCCTCCTGGGCTCTGTGGCCACCCGCATGCACAGAGTAATGCACCAAATGTAATGGTGTGTCCTGTTACATTTGGTGTAAAAGCATCACAACATTTCAGGAAAGGAACATTTTACCAGCAGCAAAATATGGTGTTGGTAGTGTGATGGTCTGAGGTTATTTTGCAAAACTGTCACGGAAAAGAGGGACCCAGGCGCGGTTCTTGCTCACAGAAACACAGTGCGTTTATTTACAGTGAAACAGACAAGTCCAACAATCCATTCAAAAGTGCAATTTTCCAATCGTGCTCGTCCCTTGCTCCCAGTGCGTTCCGTGTAGTAACTCCCTTAGTGTGTGTGCTCCCCAACTCGCTTCTCCGCTCGCCCCTCCTGGAGGAAGAAGGAAAATCCAGCGTTAGCCACACGCTAGCCGAATAACACACTCACACTGCTCGCACAGACTATACCAGTTCGGAGTAATAATCCCACGTCGACTGTCGCCGCGAGTCCAGGTTAAATACCCCTTTCTAGCCTGGAGGAATGATTACCAACCACTGGTCAGGTAATCAGCTGCAGGTGGGCCGGCAACAGCGAAGAGGGACTCCCAATGACGACAGTCGCCAGGACACGCCTCTCCCACGGCGCGCACTTCCGTAAACAACCCCGAGGGCCAGGGAGGGAGAAGCAAACATATATACAGAAAACATAAACACAAGCAGGGTCGTCCGAAAGGGCCGTCCGACCGTGACACACAAATGTTCATCTTAAGAAAAACTAAATGAAGACTTTGGAGTGGCATAGTCCTGACCTGAATCCGATTGTGACGCTGTGACATGACCTTAAAAAAGGTAGTTCACGCTCAAAACCCCTTCAACGTGGCTGAATAACAACAATCCTACAAAGATTAGTGGGCCAAAATTCCTCCACAGCACTGTGAAAGACTCATTGCCAGTTATCGCAAACGCTTGATTGCAGTGTCGCTGCTAAGGGTGGCCCAACCAGTTATTAGGTTTAGGGGACAATCACTTTTTGGTGGGGATTATGTCTCCTCCCCCCGTCTTCATCATTAATGATCTAATCCAGTCTTTACTTGGGTGTGACTTAGCCAATTAACCAATACCAATCTGCTACATGTTTATCTATGAAGATGTGATTGGTTATTTTGAATTTTTTTCTGTTTCCTGTCTTTCAGTTAAGCAAACTTCTGCAATATTTTACTATGACCCTGATGAAGGCCACAAGCCGAAACGTGTTAGTCAGTCAATAAAGTTGTTCCTCTTCCCTTAAGTGTTGCTGGAGTTCCTGCATTGTGGAGAATCACTTTTTCACACAGGACCATGCAGGTTTGTATACCCCCCAAAATATATGAAATTATGAAGGGAGCAAACACTTTTTCACAGCACTGAAAAACAGTGCTTGAAAATTTATTACATCATAAGAAGAAAACAAAAAAGACAGCAAACAAATCTAAATCTAAAGTATTGGAACATTCGTAATTTCAGTGTTTTAAACATGAAACCTTTTTACTGCTAGGCTTCTTGAGTAAAATTGTGACCTAAGTGAAGACTAATTGTATCAAATAATGTAGAACAATATGCATCAGAGTTGAGTAATATATTAATTCACCACAGACAATTTCAGCAGATACTTTTATTCGGCCTCAAAAAGCAGTAATCTGAAGTCATGTCAGTGATACTGATGCACATTTTGATCAATAAAGTATCTTTATTTCATACAGCAGAATGGGGTTATTCCTGTGGGTAAACATTATAGCTACAGCTCACGAGTGACAACCTTGACGTCCCCGTTAATTCTCAGCTCTGTGCTTTCCCAGTCAAAAACATTTCCTCTTGGTTCTCTCTTCCCTGCAAACATGCCTTGGATCACACTATCTGCCAGAACAGTGTCCCACATATTCACATCAAAGATCTCACCAACAAAACTCTGGTCGGAATCAAAATCACCCAGGAAAGAATCCGGATCTTGTCCCAGGATAACCCTGCCTCCTGCCCTGACAGTGTGACCTCTCCTGTAGATTTTAGATAAGCTCCTCTTGCCATCCAGGAAGAGGGCAGCTAAACCTGAAGTGGAATCCCAGGTGATACACAGGTGGGTCTGCAGGGCTCCGAGCTCAGGGACTTTAAATAAAACACCACCTCCAGCTAGATAAAAGGACAGTCTGCACACATAAACAACATGCATGTTTAGTCATTATGAGTCTGCACACAGACAGCTTAATAAAAAAAACACCTGTCCCCCGCAGAAGGTGTCCTACCTTCCATCCAGTTCACGCCACACATGCAACTCGTCATGGTTTCTGGTCCGGTATGCAAAGAGGATGACCTCTCGTCTACCGCTGAGCTCTGTGGCCACCCGCATGCACAGAGTGAACGACCTCAGGTTCAGGTTCTTCTGAGGGATCATCTCAACATAATTGATGTTTGTCTCAGTGGAGAAAACCAAGGTCTTGATGGTAACACTCCCTGAGAGGCAGGGAAATTAACATTTTTTTTTTCAACTTTAATTTTTATTAGTTTTAGTTTTTACTGAAAACGATACAGTAAAGAAAATTACAAACAAACAGTCTGGAGTTTACCTTTCTTTTCCCACCTTCTATCACATGCAAATTTCTTTTTATGTTGTGTTTTTGGTGCCACTTAAGAATGCTTTCCACTTCCTCCATTGTCTATCATGCTTACACCCCATTAGTCTAATGTTGAATGTAATTTCTTCCATCTCTGAGACACCTTCTACAATCCTAATCTTGTTGAGCGGGAGGGTCTGTGTGTCACCACTTCTTTGTGATTGCTTTTTTTGTTGTGACTAGAATTATTTTTACTAGATATAAGTCCTCTTTTTGTACCAGTTCCTTTATGTTTCCAAGGTACATCACTTGGCTGGTGTTTGGGAGTGCATAACCCAGAATATTATCCATGTTCATTTTGAGGTCTTCCCAATGAAGAAAAAACATTAAACTTCAAAATAAAATAAAAATCTAAACAACTTTGGCATAAAATTGAGTTTTTATGCATACAATTATGTTGTATTGTTGGGATTTAGTAATTTATGCATTTTAAATGATGTCACACAAATTCAATTTCTTAAAACTGAAGGTTATTAAAATGCCATGTTTTCCTTCACTGAAAGCTTAAATTACAAATAAATGCATTTTATGAAAACAATGAAAAGTATAAAATATAATATTTAAATAAATAATAAAATAAGGAAAAACATGCACAAGTATACACAAACAAGCAACATGGAGAGGTTACAGTTACCGGCCAATGCCATGGAGACGCCAATGAGAAAAAGGGTGACCGCTGGACTCATTTTATCTCCCAGATCTGCAGAAAATCAGACTCCCTCAAGTCTTTTTCATGTTTTGATACAATCTTAATTTATACACAGCAATGATTATTAAAATGTTATATGAACTTGCAGACAAAAATGAAGCTGTATACGTACTGTGCTGCTGAGAATGCCTCTCTACTGACAGTCAGCTGGGTGGTTTTATAAGCAAGATCTTCAAACGCCCCCACCTCAGAATCCTGGTGAGGAAATAAGATAAACAGTGAGTAATTAGGGTTCAGAGGGCAGACAAAATAAACTGTTGACTTAGGGAAAAGAAACTTAACACAAATCCAGCCTTTTTGAGTCAGTATAAATAAAAACATTTATGCTAATGAGGATCTTTTGAGTTTTATTTGGAGATTTTAAGAGGTTGTTTAAGAAAGCTCCTTTGTTGTACAGAATAGAATAGAATAGAATAGAATAGAATAGAATAGCCTTTATTGTCATTGTACAGAGTACAACGAAATTGGAGTGCCCTCCCTTGGTGCAAGTTTCAATAATAAATATAAATGTAAAATATAAAAAGTACAAAAAAACAATCGTAAGTACTCAAACAATAGTATGTACAATATATACAGGATAGCAGCATTAATATAATGACAGTATGAATAGCAGCATAATATAATGACAGTGACGGTATGGAATAGGTTCAATTGTTTTTGTGCTTATTTACTACGGTGATAGCTCTGGGAAAGAAGCTATCCCTGAATCTGTTTGTCCTGGTTTTATGTGACCTGTACCGTCGGCCTGACGGTAATAGTTCGAACAGTTGGTTGCTGGGGTGAGAGTGGTCCTTTAGGTACATTCGTGGACGGCATAATGAAGAGGAGTATTACGTCCAAATTATTTAAATTCATCTCAAATCAACAGCTAAACAGTTGAAACTGACTGTTCCAAACACACATCGGTGGACACAGTGGTCTGTACTTGTCAGTATAGTGTTCCTTGAAAAATCTTCAGTTAATCCAAAATTCTGTAAAAACTGACAGGGACTAGAAAGAAAGAGCCTGAGAAAAGAACCTGCTTAGTTCAAACGGAAGATCTTGTGTGTTGTACCGTTTCTTATATACAGTTCAGAGTAAAATAAAGGTGTTATACGTGTGTAACTCGGGGGAGCTTGCACTGAGGGCAACTGGGTAAGTTTAAGGTAATTAGAACTCAGGGCGTACCCTGCATTAGTGGAGTACTAAGTAGGGGGCGCTACACACGCCTATTATTTGATCCTACAGTGATCTTGTGTGCAAAAAAAGGGTTAAGAAGCCCATTTTGAAAAGTGTGATTTGGCCATCAGAACGTCCTACCTATAGATATGAACGATGGAGGCATAAACCACGTAAGGTGGTGTATTCTTATAAGGTTCAATTCGATTTTATTTATACAGCCCCAAATCACAACAAGTCGCCTCAAGGCGCTTTATATTGTACAGTAGATCCTACAATAATAGATACAGATAAAACCCAACAATGATATGACCCCCTATGAGCAAGCACTTTGGAGACAGTGGGAAGGAAAAACTCCCTTTTAACAGGAAGAAACCTCCAGCAGAACCAGGCTCAGGGAGGGGCGGGGCAATCACAGTCATATGACAAGGTCAACTTTTCCTGATATCACATATAAAGTGAGCAGTAAAGTAATTATCTAATTTCTAGTCTTCAGTCCTGCTGGGCTCACCAACACTCGCCCCCTGCTGACCTTTAGAAAGAAAAACACATTAAGTCTGTGAAGGTTCTCAGTCATCCAGGTCATCGTAGTCTAAGGAGCTTGGAAAGAAAAGCGTCTGGACTTCTTTAAGTTGCTTGAAGACGTTTCACCTCTCATCCGAGAAGCTTCTTCAGTTCTAAGGTCAAATGGTGGAGAGTCCCAGATTTAAATCCAGTGGGAGTTTCCCCCCAAAGAGGGACAAAGGACCCCCTGATGATCCTCTACCTAATCACATGAGCCAAGGTGTGAAAACGGGTATGGGTCACAATCAGCCAGGGTTTCGGGTGAGCTCATTGTGAAAGGGTCCCACTCAGACCCATTGTCAGTAGCATAAACTCAGCCACTTACAACATTTCGAAACACTTTGCAACCATCCTAGCACCACTCGTGGGGAACACCCCACACCACATCAAGAACTCCACCGACTTCACCGACAAGGTCCAGAAACTTACCCTGGAACCAGATGAAACCATGGCGTCCTTTGATGTAGTCTCTCTCTTCACTTGCATGGAAGAATTCCAGACGCTTTTCTTTCCAAAAACGCATTAAGCACAAATGTATTGGCTTCTTTTCTTTGGAGACACTTCTGAGCAGAAATCCACTGAAGAACAGTTGAGGTGGGAAACATGAGCCAACGTTCATAGCTGACGCACACTGCAGTTTTAGCCTTGTTGTCAAACATGAAGGAGTCAGAGTTAATTAATATATAATGTTGTTAAAGTGTACTAATACATAATGGAAAAATATAATTGCACAAATCAAGTGTTTTAAATTTTATTTTGAGGTTGCTTTTCCAAATATTTGAATAGTTTGTTAGGATTACCTGGTCATTGTGTCCTTGGGCAAGACATTTTACCCTACCGCCTACTGTGAGAGTGAATGAATAGTGGCATTGTAAAGCACTTTGGGTGCCTTGAAAAGCGCTATCCGATTGTTAAGTGATGATGTGACGAATCTTACTTCCGGGCCTAAAGTAGTCTGCGTTTAATATGGCTTTTGTGTTGTTAACATGTTTAATGTTTGTATTTTCTTCTATTTGATCTCAAAAAGCTCCTAAAACAGTCAGTGATCACTGTTGACCTCCCTCGGCTTTTATTACCGCTAATCATTTATTTAAGCTCAGTTTTTAAAACCTTAGGATGTAACTACAGCCCAGCCCATGCAGCAGTATATGAATGACTAACCTCGTATTGTGGATGGATTATCTCAGTTGTTCTCCTGGCTGAAGTTTGGTCCTTTTACAGCATCCTGCCATGCGATTACATTTGTTCCTGACCACCGAGAACACTCACGTTAACTTTTATCGAGTGGAAAAAAAGTTAGCTTGTTTATATTATGCTAACATAGCTGTGTCGCTAGCGGTCACGTAGCACATCATTATATACCAGCTAGCCAAACTTCAGTAACCCTACAAACGTCACTGCTGTTTAGTTTTCTGTCTTCATTTATGTTGGAAGTGATAACAGAGCTGTACGTTTTAATTTGTTTCCAAAACCCCGCAGTCAGGACATGCTATATTGTATTTAGATAGAAGCTAGCGAGCTAACTCCCTGCTAACTTCTAACTCCGTTAAATGTCATAAATTCCGTTTTCATGGATGCCTGGATGTTAAACTCAATTGTTACACCTGGTAGAGCAGAACGCTGATCATTTTATTAAAGATGAAAGACTTTAGACAGTTTTTCAACTCTCAGTAATGCCATAGTGATCGTTTGATATATGGACCTGCAGCGGAGTTTAGACCCAGACACGGCTAGTGACGTCAGACTGAACAACCGGATATAAATCCAATCCATTATTATTATTATTCTTATTATTATTATTCTTATTATTATTATTACGCTGATCATTTCAAGGTTAAAGCTCTCTAGTGTTTCATTTTCCAAATGGCATCAACTTGCAAGACTTGCTTCCTGATGCCCTGTACAAGGACTTTGATCGGTAGCTGGAAGTGGGCTGCATGATTTACTGGCAGGACTGGGTCATATCAGAGTTCAAAAGGGCAAACAAACCAAAATAGGGATGAATGCCAATGTTTCCAGCAACATCCAGTAACAGACAGATTTGTAGAAAGCAAACATCTGTTGCATAAACATATATCAAGGTTAGATGTTAAAGAATTTGTCACATACAACAGCAAAGGTTTGAGGTCAACACACACACAGAAACACACATGATAACACAAATATCAAACTATTAAAATATTAAAAATGTAAAATTCCATAGAAGGCAAAACAAAATTATAATAAGATTAATGCACACAAGCCAGTCTGTGAATCGCTACCTTATCGTGGTGGAGGGGTTTGTGTGTCCCAGGGATCCCAAGGGCTATGTTGTCTGGGGGTTTTTGCCCCCTCGTAGGGTCTCCGTGGCAAATTGGTCCTGGGTAAGCTTTATCTTCAAGGAAAAGGATTGTAGATCGTTGACCT